TCCTGAGAGCCATCGTCATCTTGGAATGAAGACTTCCTTGTCTCTGTGGTTCACAGCCCGGCCACATCATGTCTGCGTTCGCCCATTGAGTCATCAAGGAAGATAACTTTCAAAGTTTTTTATGGCCTCAAATGCAAAAGAAATTAAACACCATAAAATACGACACTTGTATCATTAATAATGCAAATAAGATCATTCCCACCACCACCGACCTACACCCATACACATACGAAGGTCATCTCAATATTTTCCAGGAAAGTACGTGGACCGATTATTTAATCAGATCTATAAAAGAAACGTCTTGTATTGCAAGGCACAAACCAGCTCTCATTGTTTCAGAGGCAATCATGTACCTTTAGCTACTTCTGTCGAACCTGCTTTCCAGCCAGCCAATAATTTGGAACCACTTTCAGGCCCACCCCACCAAACAAACCGGTACTTCCTGTATTCCTCTGCTCCCCACTGAATCAGAAATCTATCCTCTTTTCAATACTTCAACCTGGTCAGCTGCTTAATATAGAAAAAAGAACCAGGTGGTTCTTTTGTTTTTATTCCCTCTAATTTTGTCCTTCAGGTGAGTCATTAAAGCAAGGCCCCACCTGCGCCTGTTCAGCTTGATATTAAAGATCTCTTCCATTTGAAAAGAGAAGGGAGTTTCCCCTCAGGCTGTTTGCAGGACGTCACTGTGCGCAATTTGGCTGCTGCATTCACCTACAAAACACACAGACTGTTCACTGCAGTAAATCCTACGAAGCTCTTTGAGACGTCTTGGCAACGTGTTAAGGCGCTACATTAACTGCAAGGATTATTATTATTATGTCATTTATTTCATGAATTTTTTGTAATATACAAAGCATTTTTCCCCCATTCGCTTGTTCCCAGGCCTCGGGCAAATCCCCTCCCTAGCCGGGGGGGGCTTCATGTCGCTCAGACTCTCCATATGATTTGAATTACTTGAGATGTTCTTTCCCTACAGTCCCATTGCAGGAGCCACGTGGCCTGAACTCCGCACCCACCTCCTGGTAGAGAGGAGAGATCTCCAATGTTCCAGCTTGCAGGAAATTTCCGAGGTTGCTTGCTGGCTGGCTTGCAGTCAGCTGCACAGTACGTTGCCTCTCACAATGTACCCAGCCGTTGTACACACAGGCTGCTCCCTGCCTTTCCTAAAGAAAACAATTCGTCCCCCCGTGTTTTCCTTCAATAGGTGCCTTTTTTTTTGTACATTTGTGTTTCTCTTCCCATTGAGCCGAGTAGCTGCTTCTCCTCTAATCAGAATCAGAAACTTAATTTTACTGCCAACTCCCAGTGGCCCTGTTTGGCCCGTGCACATACTGCAAGCTTGTCGGTGTGAGTTTTAACAGGATTCATTGCTGCTCATTACTAAAGGGTAGCTGCCTGCTTGTTTACTGAAAATCGGGGGCCAAGTTGTCAAGAGAGAAAATATGAGAAATAATTATGGATTTCATTACTTGCATAAGCAAAAGAGTGTCCTGGATTATTCCTTCGAGAGCAATAAATGTACGTTATTTTGTTTTACACTTCATAAAATCTCCACTAAAAACAAACTCACGTTCATTTGATTGAACAAGGCTTGCCTGTTTCTCGAGACGCAAGCTACACTTAAGGCCGTGTCTGTAACTTTGCTTCGGGACAGAGCAGCGTGGAGCCAGAGCAGTGTTCTCCAGTGCTTCTCCCTTTCATCTTTTTTGGACTCTGGTTTGAAAGGCTCACGTTTACTGCCCGGAATCTTGAGTGCTCCTGCAATTGGTTTGGAGGCCACAGCACAGGAAGAGTCCAGGACTCTTCACTCCACTCCACTTCATGTCCCGCACTTGCCACAAGATGGCAAACAGCCATGAAGCGAATGACTCTAATGAATTTATTAGGATCTTTAACATCCACCTGAACAGGCAGACAGGAGGGAAATCTCAGTTGAATGTCTCATTTAAATAACAACACAGCACTCTCCCCAGGAGTGTCAGCCTAAACTAGGAGCTCAAAGTTCCGACGTGGGCCTTCAACCCACAATGTTCTGACCCTCAGGCGAGAACGCTACCAACTGAGCCAGGCTGGCACCTGTCATTGTGGATACGGTGCATGTAAAATACTTGCCAAGTAAAAACGTTTCTCACTGGACACAAGTGCTACTGTCGTTAGCCATCGATCTATTGTGGAGTCATTTTCTGGTCTCGTAAGTGGGGACGTGTGTCTGACGCTGCTCAGCAGAGCTGGTGGCTGGGAGAGGATTCACAAACAGAAGCCATCAAACGGAACGTGGGATATCTGTAGTCAGGAGAAAGACTGTGGTGATGTTTGGACTTTGTTTAGTGAATGAAGTCACACAGTTGAAGATTAATGAATAAATGAGGCTGGTTGTATATTTATATAATCTAATTGCAGTAATGGGATCTGATAAGAATTTAGAGAAGATTAGTTTGATAAATGAGAACTTCTCTATTTGCCTGTGACTGTTTACTCGCTTGGTACAGGGCTTGTCTGGGACATTTGAGGAGAATTTACAGTGTCTGAATTGGAAACATCTGGCTTGAATTGTTGTTCCCGATTTATGTGACAAATTCAGGCACTGAACACAAATCTGGGTCACCAGAACCGTGGCTGCATGGTCACAGTCCGAGTGTTTCCCCTTTGTCTGATTCGTGAGCTGAAGGATGTTGAGGGGAATCTCCAAGTCCCTTTGTATTGAAAGTATTTCCTCCTACAATCGACCTTTTCTAGTTACAACACCTCCAACAAAGAGATTCCTGTATGTCCTGTGTGGAGTCCTATAGCTCAGTGGTTAGAGCATTCGCCTCGCAGGCGAGAGACCTGGGTTAGTTTCCCGGCAAAGCAAAACCTTGGGCAAGTTTCCTTACTCCTCACGTTTGATAATAGTCCCTCAAGAAAATAATAATAATAATAATGTGGTCACTCAATCCATAACTGTTTGTTATGGACTGCTGTGCGCAATTGGCTGACCCGTTTCACTTTCACTCACAATAGTTAATCCACTTTGCAATAAATTCTGTGAAGCGCTTTGAGATGTCTCAACAACGTGACATCAAATGGAAGGATTACTATTATTATGATCCTATATTTTAATATGCACTAATTAACCAGCGCAAATGCGGTGCCTTGGGACGACCTCCCAACGTGAAAGGCACTTTACAAATGTAATTTTGTTGCTGTTGTTGCGGTTGTTAACCCGAGAAGAGGTTGTGTGCCTGGTTTGCTTGAGGCTGGAGTACTATGCAAAGAGACTCAAGAAGCCATGAAGGACAAGAGATAGCAGGTTCAGCTTCGAAGGTCAATATTAAAAGAGGCACCAGGAAGTATTTCCTTAGCGTTTAATCAACAGTTAGGAGGGGTTGCCTGGAAAGGTGGTGGAGACCAGAGTCTCATTTAAAAGCATCTCGATTTTTGTAATGAGAAAGTGGCAAAGTTTGGTCTTCTGAAAGGATGAGATAATAATAATCCTTGCATTTGATACAGCGCCCTATCACGTCATTGAGACGTCTCAAAGCGCTTCAGAGTTTATATTGTAAAGTGAATTGACTACATTTCTGTGGGCAAAACGCGGAAGCCAATTGTGCATAGCAGTGTCCCACGAACAGTGCTGGACTGATCAAATTGGGATCAAAAGTCTTCTTCATCCGAAACTCTTGCCCTGAAAGAATGAAGGAGAATAATAAAATGAAGCTTATCAGGGCCTTTTTTCAGATTGGAAACCAGAATCGGGTTCATTCACCAATGGTGGGAGTGACTGCCAACAGGTTTATTGCAGATAAGATGCATTTTATCCAAGTGCTCCCCTGGCACCAATTTCATGGCACAAACACATTGTAACTTTGTCTGATTTTCCCAAAAGAATGTAAATTGCCTACAAATCTCCTTCGGAAAATTGTGTTTAGGTTGTACGTTTCTGAAATGCGGTGACTGAATTGAAATAGTGTGGAGATAAATGAGCCATCAGTTCCTGTAATACATCACAGAGAGTAAATTCCTTCACTTGCCAAACAGGCCTGTGCCCCAATTCATACAGTAGCGTGTTTATTCATGAAGAATTCCCTCTGATTTACAGATGAATTAGACATGGCGCCTTTTTTTTCTGTTAACCCTTTAAGTGGAGAATAGTAATTACACCAAATATTTTCCTAAATCTGTTTCATAAAGAAGAATTGGAAAAAGTTTGTTTTAATATTTTGATCGATTCTTGCAAAGTTTATACAAACAACCTAAGATAGGGTTTAGATTTAACAGCCAAGTGTCCATGTAATTCGTCTTAAGAGTTTCATAGCACAGAGAAGTACTTAGATTTTATAACTGCTATAACGTTCATATCAAATATTCTTGCATATCAAATGTTGATAAGTTTATAACGTTAAATTGTCTCAAAGCACTTCACGGTAATCATCACTCGTATATGTAGTGACTGCATTTGTAGGCAAACATGATTGGCGTTTTGCACACAGCCAACTACCACAGACAGTCACAAGGCAAGTGATCAGTTTATGGGGTCCTAAATTAACCCAAATTGTCTGAGCCAGAGGTATAATTGCTGCTAATTGAGTTAGGCTTATGTCTAAACCAGGATGAATCACCTCAACACAGGTTACATTGGCAAACTGTGGTAAATGAGATTAAGTTTCACTGTAATATCTAGAAACACAGTAAAATTCCTCCACAAGGCAAGCCAAGATATTTGTTTTAGGGTTGAGCTGGGTTTATTGAAAAGCTGCAGTATGTATTTAAAGAAAGAGACATGAAGTGTACTCCGGTATGTTATAAAACAGGCTGACATGCAGTATATAGTAAGGACTAGAGAATGCCTTTGTGTTTTGACATTGTAAAATAAAAAATGGATCATATCACAAAGTGGTTTGACAATAAGTGGACTTCACTGTATCAACAAAACGAGCTGCAGTCTGTGCACCAGACCTTCACAATGGCACTTTCTTGCTAGAGTGCAGCTGTACATTTTCTTTTCTTTTCCCGTTCTTTAGGTCATCCTCATCGTAAGTGGGAACCTCAGCTTCTTAAACTGGTTGACTATTGTGCCAAGCATTGCTTGCTTTGACGACTCCAACCTGGCCTTTCTCTTCAGTTCACGACAAGGAGGGCTCAGGGGTCAAGTAGCCAAGATTCAGGCTGAGGAGGTCACAGGTCAGGGACCACCCCCTCATCACGGTATGTCACACTGATTAATGGGCCCCCAGTGGTTTGGGCTTTGTCCTTCTCCGTGAACCTTTGCTCTTTAACTCATTCACCACAAACGACAGCAATTTGAGTTCTTCTGGTCTACACTCCTCGCTCCCAGGAAGCCCCCCAATGGTCGCATCACTTGCCATTGGGTAAAACAGCTGATGAATGTAGCAATTTCACAGTCAGCACCAAATGAAATGTAGAGAAATGTAAAGCGAGTGTCCAATCAAATTCGAATCTTGATGTAGAATGGATAAGGCTGGGTCATGTTGGCATGCCTTTGAGTATCCAGAATCACACATCACTTTCCACATTTAGACATCTTGTTGGTTAGTTAGAAATCAACCAGGCCATTCCCAATGCTCTGCCTTTCTTCCTCCCACCGAAGGGTTTCACTGGTGTGACATTTCCGTTTCCTACACCAGTTGACCGCGAAGCTTGCTAAAGCCTTAATTAACCTTAATACTGACGCAGTGACTAATACAGATGAATAGACAGATATTACAGTCGAGAATTTTCAAAAGAGTCTTAAAAAGAAGTAGTTATAGTGTTCTGTGTCCTTTTGCCTTCTAAGGTACATTCATCCGCCGTGTGGTCAACATTGCCTTTGGATCCCTCATCGCCTTCCTCAGTTTGCCAGTGATTCTAAACCTGCTCAGCACCAAACAAGTCATGAACACCTCCTTCAATTCCCTGCGGATCGTGAACACCTATGGAGCCTTCGGAAGGTACGGAGTAGAGCGCTCACATCTTTCACAGGCTTCTTCGTTTGCCACCGACCAAAATAAAACCAGTGAAGCACTGTGAGGTGTCCTCCCGCCATGAGGCTCTGCATCAAATGAAATTTATTTGACCTATTATTTTTACCACTTGCGATATTTCTTAACGGTGTCTCTTGATTTTGATTTCCCACCGAGCTGCAGCAACTCTGCTCAATTGAGATCATAGATTGTGTCGGAGCAGATTTTCTGCAATCTGAGGTGACGTACTTATAATAAAATAATAATAATAATAATAATAATCCTCGCATTTGATATAGCGCTTTTCACGTCGGGAGGACGTCCCAAAGCGCTTCACAGAACACACTGTAAAGTGAATTGACTGTATATTTGTGGGCGAACGCGGCAGCCAATTGCGCACAGCAATGTCCCACAAACAGTCGTAGATTGAAAATGACCAATTTATTATTGTTTTGTTTTTTGAAGGGATTATTATTAGGCGTGTGGAGTAAGGAAACTTGCTTAATAATAAATAATAAATAATAAAAATAATAATTTTGTGATACAGCCAATTCATTTTACAGTATATTCTGTGAGGCGCTTTGTGATGTCTCGAAGACGTGATAAGGCGCGACATCAAATGCAAGGATTATTATTATAGATTGTGTTGGAGCAAATTTCCTGCAATCTGGGGTGACGTACTTCCGGTTTGTGGGAGGGAATCCCCTTTTCTCCCGACTTGAAATCCATTGACAAATCCAGCAAATGAGAGCCTGATGTGCGCTGCGGACTTGCCCGGGAACACAAATCCCCGGTGACAATTTTTTTTATCAAAAAAAAATGATGTGTAATCGAATGTTACACAACTGACTGGGAGAGAAAAACTCCTTTCCCCCTTCACAAAGCCAGAGCCCTAAAAAGAAGTGATACCTGTGATGGATGATGCATTTTACATAATTCAAATGACACACAAGAACTTTTTTTCTTTTTAAAAAGCCATTTAATAAGTTTGATTTAGTAAGTGTTGCCGGGAAGCTGGATTGAGAGAAAACGCCATATTTCATGCTTTAATGAGGTGAGCTGCCTGACTACATAGCGCTTGCAAGCCAGAAATAGCTTTAACCCTTTTGAGTCCAGGGTGGCTGCCACCTAAGAATGTAAGAACATAAGAATTTGCTGGCAAAAGAAGACCAAGGTCCATCTAGTTTTCCTTCCGCCATCCTGGCTTGTCATGTCGTTTCCCAAACTATACACTGTATGGTAAAGTATCACGTCTTTGCAACGTCTCAAAGCACTTCACAGGATTTGCTGCCAAGTGAATTGACTGAATAATTTGTGGGCGAAATGCGGCAGCCAATTGCGCACAGCATACATTGTGTGCTTACCCAGTGAGCCATCGGGGGAAAACGTGCGTTTCAGAACTTGACGGAGTTTCTTCCTAAACTTGCCTTTGTCCTGTGTTGTCATTCACCCAGTATAACGAAAGAACGGACTGAGGTCATCGTTGAGGGGACGTCCAGTCTGGATCCGAAAGACCCCAATGCCCAGTGGCAAGAGTATGGGTTTAAGTGTAAACCTGGAGATCTGCAGAGAAGGCCTTGTCTTATTACTCCTTACCATTATCGACTTGACTGGCTCATGTGGTTTGCAGCATTCCAGGCAAGTCATTTGCTTTTCTGTATTCAAATCATGCTTCATGTGTAGTTCTCAGGAAAGCAGTTACCGGGCTGTACCCACAAACTACCTGTGGGGAGGGGGGCAGCATGCAGTGCAATGAACCAATATTTTCAGTAGAGCCTTGTTATAGGTGGGGAGTGGGGCAAGAGGATATCCATAAACTCACACCATGAATTTCCCATGAAGCATCAAACTGTTTCTTCAACAGGTCCAGCATTCTGAAAATGGACTCGTGCATTCTGTATTTACCAATTGATGCTCCTCACATCTCAAAATGGCATTTGAGGCAGATGTAACCGTGTGTTGATCCAGTCCTGCTGGAATTCCCTTGTAAGGTATATGCAGCTATTCTGACCAAAGGCTGCATATATATTCACATAAAGGTCACAAATCATTCAGTGGCCACATTTACTCGCGTTTCAGCTGCAATCTGGTGTCTTGCGTAACCACATAAAATATTTATGTCACACTGTAACTGTCCAGATTCAGGCTCCACATTGCCACAAAGGGTTCAGCGCCTTAAATCACACCTCATATGCCTCAGTTGAAAATGAAAGGGGAGCAAGGCTCGCTGAGGAGGTTATTCCCAAATAACCTTGTAATATCCCAAGCAAAGTGCTCCTGTTACATTCCCGAGCTTGGCACCCACTTAGTGATGGGGGAAAGGGAAGTGGGGGGGGGGGGTGGTGGGGTCGTGCATGCGGGGGAGTGGGGGGTGTGGGGGTAATTGATAAGGAGAGAACATTTTCCACATTTTGCAACTCTGACAGGTTATCACTCTTTAAAGTGCAATCAACATCTGACACTTTATTTCACCGACTGCTTCCTGCAAATACTTTCCAGTGCTCTGCTTGTAACCAAGGGTCCTGTCCTGAAGGCAAACGTGTTGAGTGATGGGCTCGGGATCTGTCAGTGCCTGACGAGTTCTTGAATGTCACTTGTTTTATTAGGTATCAGATTTTTATACATATATTTTTTGTTAAAAAAGCTAAAAGCTCAATGTTGAGGAGGCAAATGTGCTTAAAATTCAGGATGTAAGTCCGTGATCTTAATATGCGCTGCTGATTGACCCAGGACTGCTCCACCGAAAGCCGTTTCCTTCATGTAATTAAAATAATAATAATAATAATCCTTGCATTTGATATGGCACCTTATCGAGCCTTCGAGACGTCTCAAAATGCTTCACAGAATATACTGTGATATATACAATATATATTTTGGAGTCCTGTAGCTCAGTGGTTAGAGCACTCGCTTTGCAAGCGAGAGACCTGAGTTCAGTTCCAGTCAGGGCGAAACCTTGGGCAAGTTTCCTTACTCCACACAGAGCCTAATAATAATCCCTCCAAAAACAACAAAAACAATAATAAATTGGTCATATTCAATCTACGACTGTTTGTGGGACATTGCTGTGCGCAATTGGCTGCCGCGTTCGCCCACAAATATACAGTCAATTCACTTTACAGTGTGTTCTGTGAAGCACTTTGGGACGTCCTCCCGACTTGAAAAGCGCTATATCAAATGCAAGGATTATTATGATTATTACTGTAAAGTGAATTGAATCTAGATTTTGGGGGTGAAACGCGACAGCCAATTACGCACAGCAGCGTCCCACAAACAGTCGTGGGTTGAGTGAATAAATTAACTTTTTAAAATGTTATTTTGTTACTAGGAAACAATTTTTCGCTATTGATTCCATCAAAAGCCCTCAAAAATGTCAAAGACTTCCATCAGTTCACTTCTCAAGCTTTTTTCCCCCAGAGGAAAAGTCCCAGTTCCTCCAGTCTTCACTCATTTCTAGGCCAAATCACTCATTCCCGGTAGCATCCCAGTAAAGCTCCTCTACCCCATCTCTATCCCCTTAATATCTTTCCTAAAGTGGACTGACCAACGCTGGACACATTATGCGAACGACGATGTCAGAGTTAGGATGATATGTCATGAAAACAGACCATTTGGCTCCACTCGTCCACATCCGTGTTTGTCTTCCACTTGGCTCACCTCTCCTGATCTTTTCTCCCTCACCCCTTTATTCCCTTCTCCCTAATGTGAGCACACGTTTCCTTTTAATTACGTTGATGATTTTTGCCTCAATCACAGCTTGCGCACTCTGCTCCCGAACTCCCAATTAGGTCTGCCACTGGCTATCTTAGATTTAAGCCCAAGAGCGCTGGGAGACATGAGAACTACAAACAATCTTCTTTTACAGGTGGTTCTTTTGTTTAAACTGGAATGAGACCTGTGTGAGTCACAAGTATTTTACAATTTCTCTTTTGCCCCTGTTCCTTGTGACTTGTTTTTCCACCTATTTATCCACTTCCTGTTTTCATTTTTACTTGGAAACAAATGCAAAGCAGAGACCGAAGTTGTTGATTTACAGGGTAAAGGCCAGGCGGAGGCCACAAGAGTACAGCCTGTTCAGCCTCGGGCTCCCTGATGTCTCCTCGTTATACTGAGAGCAAGACGTTTGACTCTCATCCCATTCCCGCATGCGTGGAAGTAAGTGGTGCAGGGGGCTGTTCCGCACTGAATCCAAACCTACTCCAAACTGGCTTACCAAGTCCTGGGCTAGATTTACTCTTATTTATGTAGCATTTCAGACCGTCCAGAATTTGGCAGCCATAATTTTCAAGCCTTTTTTTTATATGTTTCTATTAAGAACCGCAGAAAAATGACTTCAGAGTTTAAAAAACAACAACAAATTAGATTGGGATCGCGCTTTTCACGTCGAATTTTAAACATGAATTTTAAGACTGAATTCAGCAATTTGACAGATTCTGGGAACTCTGAAACGTTACATAAATAGGGTCAAATCTTGACCTGGGTGGAATTCCTCCACTCGTCCTTTTCTGGGAGATAAGTTTCCATTTATTGCTTGAATAATTTATTGCTACTGCACAAAAGTCCATAGCGGTAAAAGCCTGTGCCGGTGCTGGCTGTTACTCAAAACCAAAACGCAAGCCTGCGTGAGTGTGTGTTGGAGGAATCCAGGTGTCCTCATCCACCTGCTGTTGGTCTTTGTATCTACATTTCAACACAAAATTACACTCCAAAAGTCATGCTTCACTCCCTTCCCACAATAAGCTACCCTCTGGGTATCACACCAGTCCTTGCCAGGCTCCATTGGCTCCCAATTACTGAACGGGTGGATTTCAAGATCCTCTCACTCATTTTTAAATCCCTTCATGCCCTCGCACCTCCCTACTGCTCCGATTTGCTTACCCCCAACTCCCCACCACGCTGCCTCCGCTCGGCTGGCTCCCGCCTCCTGTTCGTCCCTCGTCCCCTCTGCTCCGCCATCGGTGGCCGTGCCTTCAGCCACTACGCCCCAAAACTCTGGAACTCTCTCCCTCAATCCCTCCGCCTTGTCTCCTCCCCACTTTCAAATTCCTTTTTGATCATGCTTATGGTCACCTCCCGCCTCCCTCTACCCCTGGCTCGGGGTCAGGCTCCGCTATTGTCAAGCACTCCAGGATACTAGCCCGTGTGTAGGTTGCTAAATAAATGCAAGCTGTTGTTGTTGACTGAGCAACTGTACCTGAAAGCTGGATGCAGGGTTGAGATAGCTGGTTTGAGTTGACGATCTTTATATAAGAATAAGAATAATCCTTGCATTTGCTATAGCAACTTATCACATCATTGAGGTGTCTCAAAGCGCCTCACAGAATATATCGTAAAGTAGATTGACTGTGTATTTTGTGAGCGAAACGTGACAGCCAATTGCGCACAGCAGTGTCCTGCAAACAGTCGTGGATTGAATGACCAAATTGTTATAGTTTTTATTTTTTAAAGGGATTATTGTCCCTGGAAAGCGGTCCACCAATCAACTAACAAGCGGGTTCCTACTTACTGCAAGGCAAACAGAGCAGTGTGTGCTGAGTAAGGAAACTTGCCTAAGGTTTCCCTTGCCCGGAAATTGAACCCAGGTCCTCTCGCTTGCGAGGCAAGCACGATAACCATTACACAACAGGATTCCACATTAAGTTTGTCCACATTTTATATGTCTCGGGGTGACACAGGGACATTTGGTTAACGTGAAATCGCTCCACTTTCAATAAGCATACAACTGTCTACGATCACTTAGTGAAGGAAGTTGTTTCGCAGTGGACTTCCCACAGATCCTAACTGCTGAAGAGTTGCGGAGCTTTTAAGACGGGAGAGAAAAGTGTGGAAAATATGATAGAATTTGTGACCCTGAAACCTTCCCTTGGGATGTTTCATCATGATGTTCCGATCAGTGACTCAAAGTTGTTGTGTGTGTTTTTTTTGCTTTTGTTTTACATTTCGACTGCAACAAAATGGTTTTAATTAGATATCTCTTTGCTCTGAAGTGGTCTGAGTTCCAAGTTACTAATTAAAACAATTTGAAAGATCTTTTTTTCTCTCTCTCTGCCTATTTTGGCTGACTGTGACTTGCACAGCCCGTTTCGGCTCCACTGGAGGCGAAACCAACTCGTCTGGGATTACATTCACATTTAAAGGGAGCCTTTCACCTCACTACAGATTTATTTTAAACCACTAATGCATTTAACCCTTTGTGAAAGGAAGAAAACAGTTTTCGTAGCACCTTATCAGTAGGAATTGTTGAATCTTACCGCACAAAAGGAGGCCATTCGGCTCAACATACCTGTGACGGCTCTTTGAAAAAGCTACCAACTCGTCCCATTCCCCCGCTCTTACCCCGAACCCTATCCAATTCCCAAACAGATCAATGTCAAGCGTGGTGATTGTTTTGGAGGCCAACGTGGCAGCCATTTTTCCATTCAGCAAGGTCCCACAAACAGCCTTGAAGTGAATGATTTATTGATCTGGAGAATTGTTGGCCAGGATGTCAGGAGAAAACTCTCTTCTCTGTTTCAGATTGTTACACAGGGTTTTTTTTTAACGTTCGCCTGGAAAAACCGAACAAGGCCTCAGTTTCTTTAACGTTCCTCGAAAGGACAGCACCACCAACAATGTAGTGCTCCACCCCAAAAAAAAATCTC